AGACTTTGGGTTTCTTTTTTCACTTCTTTCATTTTGTGTCAAATGGAGAGTTTATTAAATGGGTCCTAGATAATCAGACTTTATTAAATTACAAATCATCAGAAATGAATGAATAAAATAAAGGCATTTCAAAGCCTTTTCAAAAATGTAAAATTCAGCATGTATGGGAATATCTTTTAGCTATTACTTAATGGGTGTTAATTTACAGTAAATCCATGAGATTTAGATTTATGCCAGTGTAGTCAATAACCAGACAGGAATCAGTGATCATTGTGTGTAGTATGTGAAATATTTAGGTCACAGGATTTTGCAGCATTATGTTCTTGGAATAAAAACGTAAGTGGGGTAACAATGATGGACAAGAATGCAATTGCTGTCAAGAGGTAATGAGCAGTTTTTGTGGCTTCAGGGGCAGATTAAAGGACTGATAACAGAGACAACCTTGCCTGGTGTTCCTGCCATTTTAATAGATCTGAAAATAGTGCTGTTCAATTGTTAACCAAGGGAAATAGTCCCTTAGATACTTGGCCTTCATAAGGACTAAAAAAAGACTTATGGAGCTAGAGTTTGCAAACTTTTTTTTTTTTTCTTCCTAAACATTTTAAAATGTTAGTGTGGGCCTTTATACAAGCTTCCTGTCAGTAGACTTGTTTTTCCAACTTACCTTTTGTGGATAGCTTGGAAGTCATCCATGGGCCCCCATGGATTTCCATCTGAATAGCTAGAAAGCATTGATAGAGCAAATATTAAACGAAATGCATTGTTGTGTGACATGAAATTGTGAAGGACAGCTTCAGTGCTTGATATTCAATTAGATATCATGAAGTGTTCTTTTTTTTTTCTGTCAAATGGCTCAGTTTTTGCTAAGTTTGTTCTTAACAGAAATATTTKTAATGGATGTGCACTTCTATTAAGTCTTGGATCTCTTTATTTTTATTTTTTTAAGTCAAGTGACTTACAACTTCTAATGGACTGAGACAACTATATGCTTCTAAGCAACCAGGAGAATCACAGGATGGTTGAGGTTGGAAGGGACCTCTAGAGATCATCTAGTCCAGCCTTCCCGCTCCAGCAGGGACACCCAGAGCATGKGGCACAGGGCGGCATCCAGGTGGGTTTGGAGACCTCCAGAGAAGGASACTCCACAGCCTCCCTGGGCAGCCTGTGCCAGGGCTCTGTCACCCTCACAGTGAAGTTCTTTCTCACCTGGAGATGGACCTGCCTGTGTTTCAGCTTACACCATTTGCCCCTTGTCCTGTCCCTGGCCACAACCAAGAAGAGTTTGGCTTCCTCTCTACATTCTCCCCTCAGGTACTTATACATATTGATCAGGTCTTCTCTCAGTCTTCTCTAGGCTTAACAGGCGCAGCTTGCTTAGTCTTTCCTCATGTGAGAGATGCTCCAKTCCCTTAATCATCTGCGTTGCTCTCCGCTGGATCCTCTCCAGAAGCTCCACATCCCTCTTGTCCTGGGGAGCCCAGAACTGCCCCCAATACTCCAGGTGTGGCCTCACCAGAGCTGAGSAGAGGGGCAGGATCCCTTCTCTTGACCTGCTGTCAACATCCYCCTGATGCAGCGAGGATCCCATTGGCCTTCTTGCCCACGAGGCACCGCTGCCTCATGGTTRACTTAGTGTCCACCAGGACTCCCACATCCCACGCTGTGGTTATTCCTCCCCAGATGAAGGACTCTGGACTTGTCCCTGTTGAACCTCATGGGACTCATGAGAGGAAACACAAGGTGTGGGCGTATAGTGGGTGCTCCACTATATCCCAGTTCAGCTGTCTAGTTTTCCTAGAGAGTCCATCTAGGAACAGTGCAGTGCATTTGTCTGTGCAGATGTCTGAGTTGCTTTGCTGTTTTAATTTTTTTTTTTTCTTAAATCAAGCCATGCTTCTTTGCATGTCTAGTTTGAGACTGAGCTCATGTTTTGCCCATGCTCTGCTAGGTGAGAATTGTTTGCACTGGAAACAGTGGCTAAAGGAAGAGGCTCTCAGTCCAGAGAAGCAGCAGACCATATTCATCAGTTAGAGCAGATATCTAATCTGTATGTATTTGGGGTTCACTGAACTKTATGGTTCCCCATGTAGTAAACATTAGGTTTATAAGACTCTTTCTGTAGGGAATAGCTTACTCATTCTGAAATATAGTTGTACCATCCACAATGCTAGACATTAAATAATGTGTTTTACATTATATCCTTTGCACCCCCAGAATAAAACATAACAGAGGCTAAATTTACTGATGTAAACTACACATTTTTTCCCTTCGTTTTTGTTTTCTGTTTTCAGCTGTTTTAAATATTGAGATCATTTCAGCATAGCTAGAATTGAAAGCTTTTGGCAGCCAGTAAGCTATAATTCAGTGAAAGAAAGGGAGTGAATGTGAATGGTGGGGAGCCTGGCTGACTAGGCACTTGAAGTTTGGTTTGGGCTGTCTTAAAGAAATTGGAAACTTTGGAAGAACTGACAGGAATCGCTAAAGTCTTCTCTCATCTCCTGAGTTTGGAAAAAGCAACAAAACATTGTTTTGGGRTATTTTGACAAGGTTGAGGGGAGGATTTGGGGCTTTTGTTTCTTTTAGAATTCTAGTAAGTTAGTTCTAATAAAGACAGAACTGAGAAATGGCTTGGAAAATARGCTGATTGGGGAATTCATATACTTCGACATGAAATTCCAGCATGAATTTTCCAACATATAATTACTTTGTGATGCTTCTATTTTCATACAAAGCAGTTTTCTACTTGTTGGCAAATTTGGACTGTTTCTCAGCTGTCGCCTTTCTCTGAGCACGTCAAACTCTACTGGCAATTTCTGCAGTTTAAGTTCTGCAGGTAGTGGTGTAGAACTTAACATTTTTGCTAGTTAGCTTTTGGTAATATTTGCTACCTCTGATAACTTTTGAATATTGTATGCYTGGTCAATACTCATTGTCAACCACCTGCATTTCTTTTTAAATGTATTTCATTTTTTTTCCTTCCTGATATTGAGGAGTGGGCTATTTTGTATCATGACTGCAGCTGAAATTAAAAGTAGGGTGAAGTTGCCTGTTCCATTGTTGCRGTCTGATCAATGGCAGGATATTTGCCTTGTGAAAGGGAGTTGTTTTCCTACAAGGAAACAGCCTCTGCTGAGTCTTAATTACAATACCAACTCTGCACCTACCAAGGCACTTCACTGCTTCCTTTGGAGACATCTTGCAAAGGAATTAAGTCATTTGGTAGTGGCCAGACGTCATCTTGAATTTCTGCTTTGGATTATTGCCAGCTCCAGGCGGACCGTGTGAACCAGAGCAGCAGCTGAAAACAAGGTTTTTGTTATCCACCACCACCACCAAAACAAAATARAACAAAGCACCCCACACAGAACAGTTTCTGCACCCTAGAAGCAGGGGTCCTTTTTCACATACCCCACAGGTAAAAGTTGCAGTACCAGGAGTAGGTTTTTACCAAGTATTATATTCTCTTTCTTCTTTAAAAGAAAAGTAGGATAATGCTGCTTTAGTTCAGAGCTGTTCACAAAAGTCTTAAGTATCTCTAGAGCTTTTGTCTCTTATTCTTAAGTATATTTGTTAATCAGGATGGCATACTTGCTTTTCTTGAGAAGATTTTTGTACTTTAAATCAAACTGAAGAATCATTTTCTGTTGTAGAGACAGTCAATAGGAACTCCAGAAGGCTGGAAGAGTAATCAGKTACCAAAAGTCTACTTAAAAAAAACACAAGTGTCCTCAGTTTTTTAGGACCTCTGGTAGGAAAAAAAATACCTTAGAAGGTCRTGTTTGGGTATTTGTGTAGAAGTGTTACCCCCTCCACAGTTTGTCTCTTTAGGAAAGCAATAGCCAATGTTCTGTAGAAATAAAATGGCCAATAAATATTTTGTAGTAGGAAATAGCCATGAATTGGAAACCTTGGGACTCAAGAGTGGAGCAGGAAGTTCTGGAGATTATATTTAATTCAGTAGACACATTATGGCAGAGTACTATTCTTTAACTTAAAACTCCATTTACAATTGGCACTCTTTTAACAAGTCATGGCAAACAGCTCGTTACAGAAATGCTGGTTAATGAAAGTAGCTGGCTATACTACTTGTACAGTTTCAAAGAAATCAAAGATACATGGCTTCTATAAGGTTGCTTGTGCTTCTATAAGGTAGGCAAAGTGCAAATTGCTATGGCGAAAGATAGTTTCTAGTCTTTAAAAGCCTGAAGCATTTAGTTAATGTAAAAACAATATGGATACTTCTTTGTTATCAACTCATTTTAATAGAAACTCTCTTCAGCGGGGAATACTTTTGGAAAATGGTGGCAGAGGTAGCAAGAAGCAATTTTTTCTAGCTTATTGAAGCTATAGCTAAAGTTTTGAGAAGTGRTTTAACTTAGGGATTGTCTCATCATAGTGTTTTATCCAAGCATAATTTTACAGGCATGCTTTCTGATCCAGCTGGAAATGCCAAGATTTTTAATCAACAACTTTGTCTTTTAATATTTGTAATCTATAGTCCCAGTCATTCACTGTAACTTGCAGTTTACTGAGGTTTGGCCTGATGTGCATCAAAGACGGCTTTTGATGCGTGCTCCTATTGCTTGGCTTTGAGATCAAATGACTGACTTCAGATGACAGCCCTTAGATTTGTACGTTTGATATCTTGACTGAAGGATTTTGGTCTTGGGATTTGCTTCTTTCTTGTCACAAAAGCTCTTCAGAGTATATTGCAAATCCTATTTATTCATTCATACATTTAATGAGATGAAGTGTGATTTGAAAGGGCTTTCCTACATATTGTGTGGTTTCTGAGTTTTCATTGTGCAGCATGTTTTTTTTTCTTAATGCTATAACTTTTACAAAATTCTTTAACACCTTAGGCAAATGTGTTGCATAAACTGCAGCTATGAACTTCTCAGTGTGCCAACATTCACGTCTGAAATAGGAGTGAAAATTAAGAGACTGCTCGACTGGAGAGCCGTTATCTTTTTAACCATTCACTCTTATCTGTTTTCCAGAGAGCAGATGTGACCTCTGATAAAGATTTATACCTTGACAACAGCTCTGTGGAAGAAGCATCAGGCGCCTACCCAATTGATGATGATGACTATTCTTCTGGGTCAGGCTCAGGTGAGACAAAATGTTGCAACTTGTTTTTAAAAAGTACAAGAAGTAACTTAAAATTTTGAGGGAAAGCTCTGTGATTTTCCTTTTGGAGTTGAAGGTGATTCTTTTGATGAGAATCTGAGTACTTGATTCTGTATTTACAGCTTGTTAAACACCTCTGCCAGATGGCTTTTAAATATTAGCTTTCTGCTCTTACTCCTTAGTTGCATCATTTCACTTTTTCCCTTGTGCCTACAGTTATTTTCTTTCTGCTCTCCCTCCTAGTTTCTCYGTAGATCTCCCTAGAGTTTAGAAATGAGGATTATAGAAGGTTTACTTATCCCTTGACATAATCCTAATTTAGCAGWCTTGCAGTCTTTATGGAAACATTGCAGCAGCAATCTTTTTCTCTCTTATTCGTTAGGWTCATTATATTCATTAGAGGCTTGTAGCTAGCTTATAATTTTTCAAAAGGCTGTCAGTGAAACCTCATCAGTTGCTTCTCTGACAGCCTCTTTGTAGAATGTCTTCCCAAGTAGCTGGGAGACTACAATCGTTAGAAGTTAAGCATGGAATTTTACTGTTGCTTTGAATGAGAAATGTTTTTATTGATGTCTATGTTTGCAAAGTGGTTGTGGAAATCCCATTTATCTTTGTTTGTTTGTTTGTTACTTCACTTTTTGCGATCTGTTTTTTGATGTTTGTAGCTACTTGTGAGTTGTTAAGTATAAAAAGTTGTTGCAGAGCTTTGGCTTTGTTACTCATGTAAGTCGTGAACGAGATTATCTGTATTATTACAATATTATTATTATTATTATTATTATTATTATTATTGTAGGAATTTGTGAAGATTCAAAGGTATGCTAAAATTAATTCTGTGGACGTTTGATTTCTGCTGCCAAGCAGATTCAGGGCTGTTGGGCACTGGCCCCTAGTGATACCTTGCATTTTGGAGTCCTCTTCAGTGTGAATGTGACATGTCARTGTTATCAGTGTCTTCAGTAGCTGGTGACTTGGTAAGCATCAGGAAAGGAGACAGGCTGACAGAAGGGATGTGGAAAAATTAGGTTTTTCTTCCCTCTTCAGATATTAGCTTTTCCTCGTACAGAGGATTCAAAATGCAGCCATTCTTTTAAGTGGAAAAGATTATACGAGAACTGGCATCAGTCCTTCTTAACTCATCTTAGTAGTAAAAGTGGAACCAGAAGGATGRAAAAAGTATTCTTGGACATGACCAACATTGAGACAGATGATGCCCTGCACATGTACCAGTCTCATGTTTTCGCCTCGAATAGTATTGAATGTCTCTATCTCTACCTGATGCTCAAGGATGCAGTGTTCCTAGCTGGAGGAGACTTCTCACTCAAGAGTGGGTTTTTTGCTATGAGATTCCACTCCAAGCAAACAGCTCCAAGATGACATCGTGCAGACTCCCTTCTTCAGTAYGAACGTTGCTAGCTGCCACCAGGCCTATGGAGATAAACATGAATTGTCAGCACCACCATTAATGCCCTTGCAGGTTTGCAAGTAGCATTAATGTGGACAAATGTCACTGTAAGCATGACACATTTCAAGTTAAATTGGCCAAGGGCTTTTTCCAAGATTAGAAAAGGTGGTGGTGTTTGCTCCCTCCCCATTTTTTTCTTTCACAGTCTCTTAATCCTTCGTGTATATGCATCTGTTGAAGCTCCCTTGACCAGGTGTCCAGTCAGAATCCTTTGGTCAGCRTGTTTTGAGGAAATCATGTCTGCTCATATCTGTTTACTGATTGTCCTTTATCAAAAGCAGAAAGACCCTAGTGAATTAGTCTTKTATTTATTTATTTATTTATTATTTTTTAAATCTCTGCAGAGGATCTTTGGTCTCCGTATCATCACTGTCTTTAGTGTAGAGGTCAGTGTAGAGGTAGTGTAAGGTAAAAGATTTACCTTAAGTTTTCCTATCTATATAAATGCTTTTATAACTAACATTTTTTTCCCTAGCATTAAAAAAATCTTAACCTGATCTCTGGTCTTGCAGGTAGCAGGGAAGTAACCACTAAGTGGCATGCCTGACTGCTCTTAAGTTCAGGAAAGGCACCATCTATACTAGATTTTGTGTACAAGTTCTATGGAAATGTATTCAATTCATGGATTTTAACTTAAAAAAAAAAAAGATATTTTATCTAAAAAAGAGATATCTTATTGCTGGTAGACAAGTCTATGCAGTAGCTATTGGGATCTCATGAMTGTTTTCCTTCCCCTTCTGTTCTCGAAGTGAAATATTTCTCCGTCAGTTTGAACGTAAGTTCAGAAGTATCTTAGCTGGCTTAGGACAAAGTAGGTCTAGAATGATGTTATGACTGGGAACTTAGAAATCTGCGGGAAGTCCTGATGACAGGGGACTAACTCCTCAAAGTGTGAAAGAAAGTTTCCTGGTGTAACTGGAAACCGCAGTCATGTCCTACAGCAAAAASGGTGTTTTGGCACCTAGAGGTGGGAGACAGGGTCTCCTGGGCCCTACCAGGGAGCCCCTAGTGGTGGTGGTGCCCGGCCCTGAGGCCAGGCCCAGCACTCTCCTTGGCGCTCACTGCTGCTCTGGGGGTGGTCGCCGGCCTGGGCATCCTCTGTCCTTGCGTGGTGCCCCAGGCCTGGCACTGGGTCACCAGCTCTTCTCCTAAGCTTTCCCTCCCGTGATGCAGATGGCAACAAGTATTAATTTATTTTCTTTCCCAAAGCCTCGGTCAAACGTGCATTTCGCACTGACTTGGAGGACTTCCTCTGTCCACCAGCTCTGCCAGCCCCAACCGTACATCATAATATGTCTGCCTTGTTAGCTAGCTCCTGTAGCATAAAAACCTACCATGATCCCATTGTAATTGTTTTTRATGTGTTGGAAAGAGTCCTATACTTAAGTATAGTCAAGGCTCATTCTTTTATTCATTTTTATTCTTTTTCCTCAAATTAGAATGTGAGGAGAGATGCCATGCTTGTTCAGTCCCCGTTCCTTTCAGCTCCTGTTCTCCAGTAGGGCACTAGTGTTAGGTTCACAGTGTTATCCCTGGTTGTCTAACCCTGTGCTGACCAGGGGCTGGGTTGGCAGCTTTGGTGGGCRTGAAGATGAGGGAAGTCAGCTGAAAATATCTAGCACCTTCTGGTTCGTCTTACATTGAGGATTAGAGATAAGAAGGTATGAAGGAGATGCTGAGTTACGTGTGAGCCCAGCTTGTGACAAGCTTCCTTATGGTGCCAGTGCTCCCAGTGAGAGATGCAACAGGGAAACAAACAGGCCAAACACAAAAGATGGAGTGGTTGGAAATGCTTGGATTTGTTTGGCAACGTGAAGTTATCCATTAGCCGCCTTGCAAGTAAGAATGCTAATTACCACTACAGTCAGTAGCGTAAAAATTCTTAAATTGTCTTTGTAATTAATGTACAGTTATTTAAGTTGGCACACACTAATGATTTACTCACAAGTTTYCCCAGGCAAAGACTTGTGTTTCTGCTATCCAAGAGGTAGCTGATAGTAGGGTACATCACTGAGGGTTTTATTGGGTATTTCCAACAGGGCAACACAATCTAGAGTAATTTTGACCACCATGAAGATAGTATCTGACCATGCTAAAGAAACTATTTTTTTCTTTCCTCTCATACTTTGAACACAGGGCTTTTTGGTTTTCTTTTTCTCTCATAGMGAATAAGATACTGTGTAAAATTCAATTGCTGTCTCAGGGAGAGGTAGAGAGCTTTCTCTGATCCTTCTGATCTATTTATGGACTACTATGAGATTCCTTTCCCTTTAGGAAGGGAAATGGCTTCCTGCCATTAGACCTACTTCATGCCAAGCAGAAACCTGTCTGGAGAAAGCTAATTAGAAGCAGCAGCTGTTATATGTCTGAGCAGATTCCTTAGGCTCATCTAAGCGATAGGTGCCTCAGTGTTGGTTCTTTGGCTTGGTAGACCTCATTTGAAGCTGTATGGAAGAGGAGTTGGGTACCTTTGCTGGAAGTTTGGTGAGTAGTCCAGGTGCTGGATTAGTCACCAAGGTGTTGAACCTTGAGATCTGTATCCTTCTTAGTCAGAGGTTCTTTAACTCTCACTATCTGGAATAATTTTCCAAACAAGAGGCTGGGATGAGGCTATGTCTCATCTCCTCTGTACAGACTGCCTTTGCCAAAAGTGCAGGATTTATGGGAGGAAATAGAGGAACAAGGACAAAYGAGAGTGAGTTTAGGCAGCTGCTAGGATGCTGAGAGTCCTGAATCTYGGTCCAAGCTCTGGCCCTAGTTTTTGTGCTGTTCACACATATTCAATGAATCTGTGATGCAAAATATCTGAAAAGTTCCTGAAGTGGAGACTAGAGTTCAGACTTGTTTGGGCAGCAGTACCTTGTGAAAGATGAAGAATTTATAATCTTCTATACTGTATGGGAAGAAAATAGATTTGTCTTATTTTGGGTCCCTAGTTTTAAAAGAGGAACCAGATCCTCACCTATGCAGTTACATTGCTGTGAAGGGCTCATTGTAACTTGCCTGTGTACTTT